AAGAGCCAGGAGGAAACTGGTCAGAGAGGCGATCAAGAGGCCTACAGGAACTCTGAAGCAGTTGCAGGAATTTATGACAAAGAGTGGTCACTGTGCATGTGACAACAATATCACAAATTCTCCAAAAATGTGGCGGAGGGTTGCAAGAAAAAAGCCAGCCCTCAAGAAAGGCCACATGCACTCACGACTGAGCTTTGCCAAAACGCACCTTGAAGATTCTGAGGCAGATCAGACTAAAATGGAATTATTTGGCCTCAACACCAAACAATATGACTGGTCGAAATCCAATACAGCTCACCATCCAAATAACAGCATTCCTACAGAAAAGCATGGAGCTGGTCACTGATATCCTGTTATGGGAGTGTTTCTCTGCAGCAGGGACTGGAGCACTTGTCAGGATAAAAGGAAAAATGGATGGGGCAAAATACTGTACCATCAAATTCTTGAGGAAAATCTGATGCCCTCTGCCAGAAAGTTGTCAATGGGAAGAAGGTTTACCTTCCAACTTGACAATGACCCAAAGCACACAGCAAAACTGACCACACAGTGGTTGAAGGAGAAAAAGGTGAATGTCCTTGCATGTCAGTCAGATCCCAGGCTTGAACATCATTGAAAATCTGTGGAATTACTTGAAGACTGCAGTCCACAAATGGTCACCATCAAATTTAACTGAACTTGAGTAGTTCTGCAAAGAAGAGTGGGCAAATATTGCAAGGTCTAGATGTGCAAATTTAGTAGAGACAAATCCCAACAGACTAAAGGCTGTAATTAATGCAAAAGGTGGTTCAACAAAATACTGACACAAGGGGATGATCCTTTTTCGAAATTCAGTGATTCTGGGTTTTTTTTTTGTTTTTTTTCCTGACATGGGGTTATAATCTTTCACTTTGGCTGCACTTACACTGGCACAAAAAATCTGAGTTTTTGCTCACATCTGACACAGATCGGAATTTGTTGCACATGTGTAAACACAAAAATCCGCACGAGATCTGATTTTTTCGCATCCGATCCGAGTCACTTCCAAATGTCGTTTTAAATCGTATCTGATATTTGGACATCCGATCTACGTCTAAACATACATATCCGATTCCCTGCAGAACTCCCATTGCGAGGCGACAGGTTTGCCCATAAAGATTGTGTTTTAATGCTGGTGTGCTGTATGCGCTCGCATTTTATTGATATAAAATCTTTATATAGATATGAAATTGTACATTCAGGAGCTGGTTTTCATATAGAAGAAATTAATGACAAATGTTTTTGAAACAAACAGTTGAAACAGTGCTTGCATTTTAATGCCTTGTATTTTCAGGGATTGCATTTTAAGGTTCTGAAATTTAACATAGTTGTTTATTTAAGCTGTGAATATTTCAATTCAAAATATTTCACACACATTTTCATAATTAAAAAATGTAATAATTCATATTCACCTTCCAGAATCCACTTCCCAAATATTCAATCCGTTTAAAAATACGATGTATAATATTCGACCGGCAAATTTCGGTCCATTTTATTTCACTTTACAAATTCGCTTCCATAAATACGGTGGTACAAATTCAGCAGAAAATTCGGCATTTCACATCCGGGAGCTGCAGGAATAGCAGTAGAGCACCAGAGCCATAGAGAGAGAGAGTTGCGACAACTCCGTTCACTCCAATGGACCAGTTTTTTACAGCAATGGCGGATCGTGGAGCCGCTCAATAGTTCCCGGAAGTTAGCGCTCATACTATCAGCGCCGTAGAGACGCAGCAGAAGAGACAGCTGTGATGAACTTTTAAAAGGTACGACATTTATAGAACAAAATTTTATATTATCAGCACAGCTAATCAAATTACCCTGTGCATTAAAACAGATTATTATTAGATTATTCCTCACTTAATTAGTAGATTTACGGGATGTTCTTCATTCTCTTCATGCAGTTTCATCCATCGTTGTGTAATCAGGGCTTTTAAAAGT